AACTGTGGTGGAAGCAGCTTATTTTAAGATGATACAATTTTATTTTATTTTTTTTTTTAATTTTTTTTTTGTCAAGGTCCTGATTTTGTAAACAAGTTTGTTTGCCCTTCCTACCCCCAACTCTGGGGTTATCCACCCACAGAGCAGAGCCTGAGCATGGTTATAGCTGCCTGCCCAGATGCTCACGATGAATTGTTTGCTGACAAGCTTCAGACCTGCAATTACTCAGAGAAATTATTCAGCAAATAGTTTTGAATAATGAACCCCTTTGAGAAATTTGAGTTGTTTTGCAGGCAGATTCCAGACAGAGAACATGCTCAGGAAGTCATAGCTTTCAGCACATTTTCCCCTCTGTTTGCCAGGCTGTGGAGTTGGCAAAGCATTCCTTTATGGTACTTTCACCTGGGATTAAAGTGCTCCACCAGACTCTTGTGATGCAGGCTGAGGGTGCCCACTGCTCTGACACAGCTCAGCCACTCTGGGCCCCCAAATCCCCCCACATCTCCTCCTTGATGGTGGTCTCAGTTTCTTCTTCTTGTCCAGTTTCCCTGGAGCAAGGTGGCAGGGATGTGTGCATCCACAGATGCTACCAGCAATGCAGAGCATCAGGGTTTGGAGAGCTGGACCCTGCCTGGTGTCACCCATTTTGGCCAGTACTGCCTCTGTCATCTGCAAAATCAGCACACCTTAAATTGCTGCAGGGCCTTTGAGAAAAGGGGCTGTGGAAGAGCAGAGTCAGGAGAGATCCCTGTGAGGATTCATGTCCTGAGAGCTGCAAGGAGAGGAAAAAGCAGCTTTTGAAGTCAAGTATCTGTAGGTTTCTTCCAGATCCCACTTGCCAGCAGAGTCCAATGCAAGGTGTTTTATAGCTGGGGAAGGAGAGCTGCTGTCAGGGAAGGCCAAAATGAGTGATATCACCTTGCAGCTGAATCTCTGGGTCCCTGAGTCCCATCAAGGGGCAGATCACTGTGGGATAAAAAGATGGGAATCACACAGGAATCACGAGGGCAAGGAGCTGGAGACCTGTCCCTTTTCAGGACAGGTGGCTTTCACCTCTGCAAGTGGGCAAAGCAGTGAGTGACAGAGGGCAGAACCTGGAAAGGACACAGGACTCCAGCCCCTCAGGGATTCACCTCAGTGAGTGCAACATCCGCATCTTTTCCACCACAAAGAGGCATGAGAGGAGGAGGGGGAAAGTGGCAGGGCACGGAGAGGTGTGTGGGAGTGCCAAAATGATGGGCAGAGGTCTCCCAGCGAGGCTGCGGATGCCCATCCATGGGAATGGATGCCCCGAGCAGTGCGTGCCACCCCTCCCCACGGCCAGGCGGCTGGAACTAGATGGCATTGAAGGTCCTTTCTGACCCAGACCGGGCTGTGATTCTCTGCAATGGGCCATTCCTTGTTTAGGAGCTGCCAGAGGGGGAGGATGGGCTGGAGGTTGGCACGTTGTCTCTCCCCGTGCCTGCCCAAGGAGCCGGCGCATCCCGGGGAGCAGGAGCCGCTCTGCCCTCACCGCGCCCGGCTTGGCGTGTTTGGAGCTCCACGGCCACAATCTGCCAGCAGCAGAGCAGCAAACACCTTCAGACACTTGTACGCAAATACTTCTGCCCAAAGGTAGGACAGGAATACAAATCACCTCCTCTCTCTCTCTCTCTGTTGGGCTCTGTGCGCTTACATTTGCAATTTCTGCATATTCAGCTGCGTTTGAAGCGCTCTCCAAAGCAACCCCTTCCAAAAGAGCCGAGGTGGAAATTCCCTTTCTCGGGACGTTTTGCCACCTAGTGCCCAGCTGGGAAATCTCATCCGTCTGCACCTTGGGGAGGCAATAGCAGCGGGAATTACTTTTTTGGGAGACCATAAATATTTTGGGAGGACAAAGTGATGCAGGAGCAGATTTAGGTACTTTGCTGGGTCAGACTCATTGGGAGGCAACAGGGCATATTGGTATCTCATTTCTGACAACAGGCTTCAAACTCTAGAATTGTTCCACTGCTGTCATTCCTGCTGCACCTCTGAAGAGGTGGTGCTGGAAAAGGAGTGGAGAAAGGACAGGAGCAAAGAGCTGCTGACCCTAGGGATGGGTATCACAAGGGACAGAAGAGTTGGATGTGAAGAGGGATGTCAGAAAGGACAGGGATGATCCAGAAGGAAATCAGGCAAGAAAACAAGTTCCATCAGCCACTGGTTTGGGTCTGCCTTGGTTCTCTCATCCTTCAGAGAGCAGCTTGCTCCTGCTGTCCAAGTGTTTTGTAGATTTGGAGCTGCTGGTGGAGCTCTGAAGAAGACCTCTGCCTTTTTTCCAGCTGGCTGAGCACATCCCACTGCTGTTCCCCTGCTCAGGAGATGCTGCTGATGGACAGGACAAGTCTGTGCACAATGGGCTGGAGGTTTGTCAAATAACAAGGGAACAATGACACTACTGACCCAGACAGACCCGAGCCCAGAGCAAACTCCCTGCATGCCTGGAAGCCAAATACCATCAGCTGGGAAGCCAGATCCATGGTGGATCCTCTGTGTCTCCCTCCCCTTCTCTCTCTCATTGCTGTGACAGGTTGCTGATGATGGAGAAATGTCAGTTTGCTGTAGAAGGGTGAGAAGGCAGAGATTAAACTGAAGAATCTCAGGTAAACAAAGCCTCCAGAGTATCTGATTTATTGTCAGTTTGTTTGCCAGCTCTCACTTGCCACGTGCCCTGCAGACAGGGGATGAGCAGCACTTCCAGCAATTTCTGGTATGGGCATTTGGCATTTCTCAGCATCGCCAGGTTTCACTGAGAAAGGGAGACTTGGAAAGCCAGCGTCAGAGGAGAGTTCCTGCTGCTGTGAGGGGCAGCCTTAAAACAGCACTTGGAAACTGAGGAGGACAAACACACAGTGCCTGGGCAATGACTTGGTGCTTTTTGTAGCCAGGAGCTGAATTAGGGGAGAAAGTCCTGTCCTAAAGAATCCTGTCACAAGCATCCTGCCTGCATCTGGAGGATGATCCTGGGGAGGCAGACACCCAGGCTGGGTGTTTTGCCACCTCAGGGCCAATGTGCCCAACTCTGACTTCAGTCAGCATCGTCACCGTGTCCAGCAGCAAGAACAGGCAATTCTGTCCACATCCTCCTGTCACTTTGTATTTGTGCTGCCAAGTAATCTGGTGTTGCAGGCACCTGATGTGACCAAGCACTCTGAGCTCACAAGGATCAGATTTTCAAAGCTATCAGCCTCCTAAATATGCCAATAGGTGACTAATGGCTTCTAAGTGCACCATACTCTAAGAACCCTGAGACATACAAAGGGCCTGAGATAAGACAGGAGAGGGAAAAGGCTTTGTATCATTTTTAAAAAAAGCTGCAACTCTCACAGGTTTTGAAAGAATGTGTCTAATGTCTAATATGAATTTCTAATGAAAAGAAAAACATGAAAGAAATGTCTTAAATATTTCAATGACGTTATTGATTGGTGTTATAAAGTATGTATTACTAAACTGTGTTCTGTCGTGGTTCTGCAGCAGCTGATAAACAGCATCTTCAGCAAGTGTTCTCACAAGTTGTTGTTTTTTTTTTATATTCCCCTAGTTTCTGAAATGCAGCTCTGTGGAGCTCAGCTTACTCCTGTCTATTTATCTAAAGAACAAAGTACTAAAATATCACTGTAGCAGATACAGAAATCGTCTCAAATAATATCCTTCTGATGTATAAATCATCACGAAACACGGTCATCATCAATGGCTGGAATAAAAATAGAACCATTGCTACATGCTTTTTAAAAAAGTTACAATTCGATTTTAAAGGCCATCAAAATCCAGTTTTTTTCTTTGTTTTAAAAGCTCAGGTATCAGAGGAGTCTTGGTCAGAGCAGAGATAAGGCCCTTCTCACCATAAATGAAAGTTGATGTAACAATATCCATGTCTCTGACCTGTGACAGACACCAAACTGGTGCCTGAGGAAGCAACTACAGTTCCAAATCACCATGAAGTCAGCAGAAAATCTTTTCCAGATTGTTTTTATATCCAGCTGGGAAATGTGGTGAAATTAAAAATCCCCTCATGCCTCACAAAAATTGGTGATTGAAGTAGCTCATCTATAAATAATTTAAGTTCCATTTATATGGAATGAAGATTCCAGTATCTCACCAGGTCATCATAAAGACAATCAACAGCTTCTATTCTGTTACATCACAGCTCCCTGAGGAAATCCTCTTTTTTTTGTCCTTGAGACATGGTGTTGAAGTTTTGATGTGAGCAGGCGTGGGATGCAGGGCACTGATTCTGCTGAGCCACCAGCCAGGCTTCAAAGCTGAATCCTAAAAACCAAACCTCTCAATTTGCCTGTGTCTGGGATATGTTACAGAGGAAAGGGAATTACATTAAAAGGTCTTTATAGAGTCCAGAGAGTCAATAATTTTTATGCTGGTTTCTTTTCAAAATTGTTTTTAATTACTCTTTAAATGGTGCAATTCAGGTAAGGGCTAGGAATCCTGGGCTGTTTCCTACAGAGCTGCAACAAGACCAAATCCAATGAACCAGCATTTCAAATATCCCAGAACCCACACTCAGGGAACTGGAGAGTCTCTAGTGCACAATGACACTCCCAGCTGTCAACAAAACCTGGGGAATGGAAGTACAATAGCTTTCAGTAGGTCTGATGAGATATCACACTGCAGCAGCAGTCACAGGAAAAAGCATGACTTCTATTAGTTTTATATCATCTTAAGGATCTCTGGGCCACCTATATCATGATGAAGTGCATTATTTCTCCAAGAGCTTCAGAATCTGTAATGGTGGAGGTTGAATCCAGATAATCACATGTTTTGAGCAAGTATCTGAAAACAGTCTTGTGAAAAACTTGGATTAGTGTTAATTTAACAGAGGGCCATGCTAAATTGGCATCATCTTCTTACAACTGCTCATGACTTTATCTTACTCAGTGACTAGGACAGCATGTAATTCTCTAGGGACAAGTGTGAGTGTTTGGGAAATCTTTATATAATCTATGAAAATTGGAAGGAAAAGATTAAGAACAGTAATTCTTTATGTAGATGCTGTGAGGTCTGTTCCTGATGATGGAAGGTGCTGCAAAGAGAGCAGAGGTGAAATCTATGAATGCCTGGGAGATCAGGGCTTGGGAGGAGGAGTTATTGGAAATCCAAGCTGACCTTGAAGATGTGGGGCAGCAGGACATGGGAGTCCAGCCCCTGGCATGGTGGAGGGGCTGGGTGCTTTCATGTGTGCCAAAGGAGGGCCCCCAAAGAGCACAAGGAAGAGTCACCACCAGCTGAGGGTGAGTCTGGCAGAGCCTTCTGTGAAACACCTTCATTCTTTGTGAAGTCATTGTGTAGGCTTGAACTCAAACCTTTCTTCTGAGCTGGCTCAATACCCTGTCCTCTCTGTGGATTTAAAGAGAGTTCAAAAACAAACTTAATGTTCCTCTTTAGAGTTCTCTTAGGTTTATATTTCTTGGAAGACGGAGGAGAAATGTGCACGAAGAATTTCCTAGTTGAACTCTGGAGTGGGATTCATGTGTTCTCACCAGAATGACAACACAAGTACCCTACTTGGCTGTTTTCTTTGAAGACTACAGGAAAAGAGAGCCTGTGGAAAACAGTCTCTCACCTGGGATGAAGACTCTGTGAGATGGAGCCAGGAGCTCCTCTGGATTTTGCAGGTGCTTTTGCACATCCCTGACAATCCCACATCACACCCTGACCTTGTTCTGCTCTCTGGTGTCTGCTGGACACAGCAAATGACTCTGACTCCAGTTCCTCGGTGTCTCAGCTGTTTCTGTGACACCCAGTAGATGGTGCCACCAAATAACTCGTTTACATGAGCAGTTTCTTGTCGGAGGCATTTTAAGTTTGCTTCAATCACTGCACATGTCTTAGGACCCAGCAGAATTCCTTCCTTCTACCACTACAAGGAGCTTTCCCCCCAGGCTTTGGATGTCACAGAAAACATTTTTACTTTAATTTTTTCCTATTTTCATAATGACATCTTATTAGAATCATTTTTATTGCACGAATGTTTAAGAGAAAAAAAAAAGAAGCCTATGCTTTGATCATTCATTTTTGAGTTTATATAATTTCCCTGGCTTTTTGAGTTTTTTGAGTAAAATTCAGTGCTCAGATTTTTTTATTGGGACAGAATCTGTTGCTGGAAAACTCTGTGGAACAAATGGTTCTGGATAAGAAATGTTAGGAGTGAGTGAGTGCTCAGAACCTTCAGCCACATCTTGAGAATCTTTGCTCTTTATTTTAGCAGCACATTTGCAAGTGAGAGACCCACTGATGGTTCTGTCCCTGGCCAGGCTGGAGGTTTCAGAATCTCATTTCTTGTAACCAGAGCTGGCAGCAAAGGAACAAATGGCGAGCTCCATTTCCATCTTAGATGTCTTCTGCTGCACCAACCCCCAAATGAGAATCCCTCCTGTGAAGCACAAATGCTTTGATAATTCAGGCTGTCAACTTGTCTGCAAAAGCCAGAAAAAGAGATATGAGAGAAGGCTCCCCTGTGGGTAAAACCCAATACTTAATTCCCAATCCTTTGTTTGCGTTTTTCTTGGAAGTTTCACCTGTGGAGCATTTGGTTTCCTGTGTCTCAAAGCATGGCTTTCCTTTTGCAGGCTGTTTAAATATTTATCTTCTCTGCCCTTCTCATCCCACCATACTTCAAACCAGAGAAGGGAACACTTATCCACATGCAGCCTGGAAGATGCTTTGTCTAAGGGAGTAACAAATACTTGCAGTTTAATAAAGACTGGAGTTTTCAGTCTTTGAGAACATGTATTACAGCCTCAATTTGGAATAGGTGATGAGGTGATTACTAAACCCTGGTTGCCATGGGGAAAGAGAGGAGGGTGATTGCTTTTTGATGGAAGAAACTAAGAGGTACCAACAGTAACTTACTGCTAACGCACACTCAAGGTGCACTTGGCATCAATGCATCTGGTGAGAACAGCAGTCAGTCTTACTAATGTCTGAGGAGTCAGCTTTAGCAGCAAGAGTTATTGATGCAGAAGGTCAGCTTTTTGTGACTGGTCATTCCTTGCAACCTCCCTCGAGTTTGGTGTGACTGTGGGAGTGATTCCCGCAAGGGCACTTGATTGAATTTGTGAGCGGTTCAGGGGTACTCACAAATCAAGCAGACATTGGCCACCTACAAACAGAAGTAAAGCATCGGTCCAAAATAGGATCTGGAGGCTGAGGGATTCTTAATAAGGCAGATTATTGTGCTGGTGTGCTGGAGAGCAGCTCCTGCCTTAAAATTCCAGGGGCTTAGAAGGAAAGCTGTGCAGTGTTGGGGCTGCTCCTGGGGGTGCAAGGATGCCCCAGCTGAGCGGTGCGTGCCAGAGGGTTTGTGTCTGTGTTTTGGTGCTTGGAGCACAAGGAAGAGATTGACTCCTTGGTTAGATACAACAGGCTGGGCTCTTCCCAGCCTGGGATAAAGCTGCAGTAGTCCCTCCCCTGGAAAAACTGGCAAGGGGAATATGAGAAGGGAGTGAGACTCCAGCAAAGCAGAGTTTGATTTCCATCACGTTAGTGATCACTTCAATGAAGACCCCACAGAATCCACAGCTGCTGGTGGCTGTGACACCCTCTGCCACCACCTCACATCCCCTGGGGAGGAATCCTGAGTGTGGCACCTTTCCAGGGCAGAACTTGGTCTGGGAAAGGAACACCAAACTGGCTGAGATGGGGCTGAGCATTTCTTCAGGAGCTCGAGAGTGATAGAGGGGCTGGAGCAGGTGGTGGCTGCTCTGTCTGCTGGTGCTGAGAAGCTCTGAGCACCTTCACCCTTTCCTACACCCCTCTCCTGTAGAATGCGGAGGAGGCTGCCCTTGATGTCTTGTTTCTCTCTAAAATGGGAAGTATTTTGGATGTAACTGTGGAAAATACGGGCTAAGTCCTGCCTTCTGTACCAGTTGTACCCCAGTATTTCTGGGGGGTTCCTGCAGAGGTAGCAAACCAGCCCATCTGCCCTGGGTCTCTTTTCCACTTTGCTCTTTTTCTCTCTTTGGTGCTTTTCCTGTTGGAAACAGCTCCCAAATATCCAGTCTTTGGAATGACGCTTCCCTTATCGTCATCCTTAGTGATCAGACAGTGGTGGGGACACATCACTGTAATTGTGTTTGTCTCCTTCACTGGTTTTTCCTTGTAAATTTGTTCCTTGCATTTGTTTCTGGATGGCAGATGTGTTAATGGCTGGGCAGTTTAATGTGTTTATCTTTTGTGCTCTGTATATTTTGGATATAGAAACAGCGAGAAGAGATAAGCGTGAAGAAACCACTTCTGCATTAATGCCAGCAATTCTGACATTATAAATATATATGAGAGAGTTTCCATGATTATATTTTAATGTTTTGTTTAATGCATTGACTCTCTGGGGATGAAACAAGAGAAAACCTCATTTGTATAATTTAAATGGCTAGCAATAAAAATAGGAGCGAAGAAAGGACCAATTAAGCAGCCATGCTTTCAAACCCATGCAGATCCCATTCCCTGCAAAGGAGCCTGTGTGGCTCCAGCCCCTCCCATCCTGGATAGAAGCCATGAGCTGTGGAGCTTGTAGCACCAGGCTCCTGGTACCTCCTCAAGGATGGCAGGACTGAGGGAAGTCAAATCAAGCTGAGGCTCCTGTGATGTTACAAGGGAGGCATTTGAGAGGCAATGGGAAGGACAGCAGGGACTGGCAGGGGCAGTTGTCCTCCCTGTCCCCTGTATGGACAGCAGTCCATCCCATGTAAGAGGTGAGGCATATGAAATAAGACAAATTTGTGTAGTCCCTGTGTTGGTTGTTTGGTTCTTGAGCAGTTCCTCCTAGCAGAAGTGCTCACCTGTGGTTACTCAGTTTAGGTACCCTCTTCTCCTTCACAATCTGCTGTTTCCAGCTCTGTCTGTGTCCAGCTCTTTGTTCAGGGTTGTGCTCTGTCATCTCACCCCTTTGCAGATTTCTCTTATCCAGCACAGCATGCCAAGGAACAAAAATCACAATTCCTAGCTTTTCTCACAGTTGAGAAAAGGACTTGGGAAAAAAAAAAAGCCCCAACAAACCCCACAACAATAATCTATCAAAACATTTCCCATGGGCAAAGGCTGCTGGACCAAACATGCTGAAGCTTATCAGCACAAATGAAACACTGCTTTTCTCATTTCCACTCCTTTTGAGTTCTTCCACCAGCACTGCACATCTCTGCTCCCACGGAGCAGGATACAGACCCTCATCAGAAGGTGCCATGCCCTGAGAGCTTCCTCCAGTCACTTCTAATTGCCAGCATCAGAGGAGTCCATGGGTTATGGCCCTTATTTCTGTGCTACAGGAGCAGGCAGCCTCTGCTTTGGCAGCTTCAAGTCTGCAGATAAGAAATGCAAGGTCCTGCTGTCCTGTGGTACCTCTGCAGCCTGGAGCGAGGAGCTCTCCTGGCAGTGCCTCCCTTGGCTTCCCCTGGCAGCAGGTATGGAGGAAGGGGAGCTGCTCCATTACCACTTTCAGACCCCCATGTCCATCACTGCCCCCCACATTTTCCCAAGTTTTGATTTTTGCTTGATGAAGCAAAAGACTGGGAAAGAGTTGTTTGCTGTTTCTAGGAGTTCTGGCTTCCAGTTCTGGCACCGAGCCTTGCAGAAAAGCTTTGCTGTTTCCATGACAAATTTGGCAGCTTTCTGACTTCTGGGCTGTCATGCCTGGACTTCAGGAAGAGAATTAAGGAGATGAGATCAAAAAGAGCATTTTGTTATTTAAGAGCAAAGACTTTCCCATCCTACTCAGTCTTCCCACGCCGTGCTTGCAGATGCAGAAACATGGCTGCTGTAGGTGTTTTCCTTTCAGGATGTGTGTCTGTAGATCCATCTGAATCCACACAGTTGGTCCTGTGTGACGTGGTCTTGGTTAAGCCATGAATTTCCATTCACAGCCTGTGATCACACAGATATTCACCAATCTATGGAGGGACCACGGTGTTCTGAACTTACACTGTAATTGGAAGTATATTCATGGGTATGCATTCCTTATTTCTGAAGTCTACAAGAAAAGCCCATACAGATGGAAAACTATTTATTATTCTTTATCTGAGTTTTTGCTGTAAGAAGCTGCACATCATCAGGACTGTGTCATTCCCTGCAGAAGGCAGCCACAAGGAAGGGGCTTAAAATCTCTCACACCAAATTGCTGGAGGACACAGTTGCCCATTTTGGTCCCTGACCATCAGTGTGGAGCAAGCAGTTGGCCCAAAAGGTATCCAGCCTCGAGACCTGAGGGTAATGAAAGCATTAGCAAGAATT